ATTGAGAAGAAGGGATTTGGGTTCCAAGATTTCTTAAATTTTTGTATAATGTATATTAATGACATTGTTTGATCAAATCATTCTCCCCTAGTTGGTACTTAACTCCCCCCCGACCGTTTGAATTTCTTGTTTTCAACAGTCCTTTACAGAGTAACTCACTCATTTATTTCTTTAAAAACAAAGTTAAGAAAAGATGGTCAACACTTGATATTTTTGTATTGACTTGACTGCCCTTAATTTCTAGCTCTAAGTCTAAGTTGTCCTTGACCAAAGCACCCTTAAAATGAAGGAATAGACATCCCATGATCGTTTTTCTTTGAATAGTTTGCTTATATATTGAGTCGTCTCAACCATTTAGTGAACACATGGCTTCATTGAACTCCTTCTCACCCTTAATCTAATTTTGAGACTAAACATATTACGAGTTTGATGTTTCTTCTAGCTAGTCGGATTGCAGAAAGCGCAATTTTAGGTTTGAAAATTATTAAAATATTATTAAAAAATTAAAATAAAGAAAAAAATTTCATTAAAAATACTTTATTAATTTCACGGACAAGATTGCACTTTTATTAATTTCATGGACAGCATTTTTTTATATATTAACCAATTTTGAGTTACTTTCTCTTAGTTTTTAAGTCAATGATCAAAATATATATTATGATTGATTAAGCCTTTCTAAACAAAAGAAAATAATTGATAGACATTTCTTTTATACAATTTTTTTATATAATTTTATATGTTATTTAATAATTGATTTTGTTCACCTTACTAAAACTTATGATATTATACATATTTACTTATCCAATTATTTGTAAAAGTTGTATTAAAAAGTTATGCAAAAAAATTTATCCCCCATGTCGTTACCCCAAACAAACTTATATTTAACCCATTACGTTTGAGTTAAAAATTTTGAATTTAGAATTTTCAAATCTAAAATCTTCCTAATATTGACAAGGTATTAAATAAATAAATTCATATCAACTCGCGTATCTTATTATATAAGAAAGTTAGTAAAATTTACTATTATATTATATCATGATAATTTATTATCAACAAAAATTATTAATAAATCATTTATATTTTATATAGAGATTAATAATTAAATTTTAAACTTGTGGTTATATATGCACTAATTAAGCGTGTATAACTCTAACGCAAAGTACATGATTGATGATAAATAATTCATTTTTGTCAATAATATTTCATGTAAAATTATTAATGTACAATCATATTGTATCATTAAATTAAAAATATATACATAATATTATAGGTAAATCTCTAAATAAAAATAAATAAATTACATAATAATAACTTATAATTATAAATTTATAATATTATATAACATTATAAATACATTATTTTCAAATTATAATATTAAAATTCAACTTATATCCAAATATACAATCTTAACCATTAATAAGAATGTAGTATTATCCTACCAAACCAATGGTCAATGTTCTACAACGAACTGTGAAGAAAAGTTTACTCGAATATAAGAAAATAATTTAAAAATAATTTATTATTATTATTTATATAATTTTATATATTATTTAAATAATTAATTTTTATTTAAAATTTATAATATTAAATATATTTACTCATTTAATAATATAAAAAATTATATAAAAATAATATAAAAAATTATTTTTATATTAATACCTATAATATATAATGTTTAACGTATTTCGGAGAAAGTCGGGCTTTGCTTGAGTGGCACGACCGTAATTCCATTAAAAGCTAAACCCAATCATTTATCTCCCATTTAAAACCGCGCTTTTTTTCTTGTATATAAACGTTTAAGGAAGCCATAACCAATCAAACAGAAAACCAAAAAAATAAAAATCAATTTAAACGAAAACCGAGAAAAAGACGGCATGAACTTGCAGAGAGGAGTGCAGCTGTTGTTCCAGCAGTTCAGAGCGCTATTCAAGAAGAACCTGCTGCTCACATGGCGGAGCAAGAGAGCTGCGTTTCTGCAACTCTTTTCCTCCCTCTTCTTCATCTTCCTCATCTTCTGTATCCAGAAGGCCAGTCCTCAAACGGATTCCTCCACGGTAGTCTTGCGTGATCCTAAGCCCCTGGTGGCGCCGGCGATTCCTCCTTGCGAGGAAAAGTACTACATAAAGCTTCCCTGCTTCGACTTCGTTTGGAGCGGGAATGAGAGCCAGAGAGTTGCGAGTATCGTTACCGCGATCATGGTGAATAATCCTGGAAGGCCGATTCCAGATGGCAAGGTATTCTCTGAGCGATCTTGCTGATTCTGCCTGTTTGGTTCTTGAGAAAATGTGATGAGAAACTTAAAAATGTCGATTTACTCTTTTAACAGTTACTAGAAATAAATAGTTGTTGTAAGGCGGTTACAAAAGTAAGCAGAAAATTTAGTGGCATTTTTCTTGCTTGAGTTTTCGAGAAAATAAAATCCTAGTAATTTTTCTACTAGTGATTATTTATTAACCTCCCTGTTTTGACTTTCGGCGTTAAGTGAGGTTAATGAAATTTTGAGATAGCAATGAAATGCTAGGATTTTGAGAGATTCAATTGTTGATGCTGCAATTGCTTTTTCTGATTGGTTGATTAGAAATTAGAGGAATAAGACTGGAAATTTATATGAAAAATTCGTTTCTCTTTTCCTTTGTCTTTCTAGTTTGTTTGATTTTGTTGTTTTGAATTGAAATCTTAAGACTGCTATTTGTAGTGCAGGTTAAATCATTTAAGACAGGTGATGAAGTAGATGCATGGCTTTTCAATAATCAGATGCGAGTCCCTGGAGCTTTGCACTTTTTAGATAAAAATGCTACCATAATTAGCTATGGATTGCAGACTAATTCAACTCCTGTTCAAAAGCGAGGGGAATATGAAGATCCAACATTCAAATTTCAGATTCCTCTTCAGATTGCAGCTGAACGTGAAATTGCTAGGTCATTGATAGGAGGTACCATAATTGGTTCCGGTTATTATGTTCAGCAGTTGCAAAGAAGTGCTCTTCTTTCTCTGTTTAATTATATTGCATTAAAATTTTCATTTTGCCTCTGTGATTACATGTTCAGATCCAAACTTTAGCTGGTCAGTTGGATTTAAGGAATTTGCTCATCCTGCCATGGCAACTTTCTCTATATTTGCTACACTGGGACCAGCATTTTTCCTTGCAATTGCGGAGTTTAATTTTGTATTTCAGATTGGTCATTTGGTTGCTGAGAAAGAGCTTAAACTTCGGCAGGTTGGTCTTGAGTTTTCTCAGTTTTGAAGTAAGCTTAGCCATTTTAGCCATCATGCTTTACTGTAGAAAATTGTTTATTTATTGTGGATTTTCCCCCTACAGGCAATGACTATGATGGGTCTTTATGATTCTGCATACTGGTTTTCATGGCTTGCATGGGAGGGGATTATGACACTTCTATCATCTCTTCTTATTGTTCTCTTTGGAATGATGTTCCGGTTTGACTTTTTCTTGAACAATGATTTTGCAATTCTGTTCCTCCTCTTCTTCCTTTTCCAACTTAACATGGTAAATATTTGCACCCTAATACTTGTTACGACGCATGTTTTTCTTCAATTTATGCTTATTTTTTGTGTTCGGTGCTACAGTTGAAGTTGAACAAGCATGTACTTAGATCTTTACTCTTGATTGTCCTTTTTAATGATGCTAGGTTGGTTTTGCCTTCCAACTCTCACCCTTTATTAGCAAGTCATCTTCAGCCACAAGAATTGGATTCTTCATATTTATAATCGGTTTTTTGAGTCAGGCAAGGTTCCTCTGCTTAGTATCTGGAAATGGAATTATATGTTCTATTGTTTTAACATATGTTCTATTGTTTTAAAATATCTTATTGCAGATTGCCACTACAAATGGATTCCCATACAGTAAAAACATCAGTCCTACTATTCGAATCATCTGGTCATTCTTCCAACCTAATCTTCTTGCTCAAGGTATAAGTATTCTTGCTGGTGCAACTGAAACTCACGAAGATATAGGAGTTAACTGGAGTAGACGAACAAAGTGTGCACCAAATGATGATGGGTGTGTGATAACAATGGTTTGTCCCTGACTCAAATCTGGCAAATATTGACAGTGTTTCACATTATTTCTTCAGGAGACAAGTTGCTTTAGCTTCTTTGTTTAACAATTGGCATTGGTCATTTTTCCTTTGTTCACTTCAGCCTCCAACCTGAACTGTTCTCATTATGGCTATCTAATTGGTCTTTTATATTTTTTGACAGAATGATATCTACATATGGTTGTCAGCCACCTTTTTCCTCTGGGTTCTTTCGGCAATCTACTTTGATAACATAACCACAAATGCATCTGGTGTGAGAAAATCGATATTTTACTTTTTGAAGCCTAGTTATTGGACAGGGAAAGGTGGAAAGGTAGAAGGTAATTGAGTTCCAAATCTAACCTGAACTCAACTACCTCTTGTTAATTGATGTGTTCGATTTATGTTTTTCTTTTGTTTTTTTGGTATCTCTACGTAGAAGGCGGCATTGGCTGTTGTATACATTCAGTTCCACCAGTCGAGGATATTGCTCCTGATGATGAAGATGTCCTTGAAGAGGAAAACATTGTTAAACAACAAACAAGGGAAGGTGCAGTTGATCCAAATGTTGCAGTTCAGATACGTGGTCTTGCAAAGACATATCCTGGGTCCAGGAAGATTGGTTGCTGCTGTAAATGCAAGAAGACTTCTCCATACCATGCCATTAAGGTAGTAAATCCTCTTTTTGACCTCCTATCAGAACTGATTAAAAAGCCACAAATTTACAAAAAACTCCACATTGGTTTTACATCAACATTTTCTCAAGCATTTTGCTTGAACCTACTCTTTGATATTTTCATTGCTTTTCTTTGAATTGAAGAGATTTTGATCAAATAAAATAATATACCTTATTCTCCCATGGGACAATATATCTCTACACTAAGTGGAATGCGTTGGCCTAGACAGGGGTGGTTTGGTCATTTAAACTGTCGATAAGAAGAATTATTTGTCTTGGTTTATTTTAGCCTGTATGGCTTATAGAATCCGTTAAATAAGAAGAAATGCTTTACATCATTATTGCAATGGAAGGAAAATTCTCTCCCATCTGAACTTTTGAATTTTACCTAACTGTATTTTCTTAGCTAGTTTATCTTTGTTCTTTGGAGTGTATTATTATTAATTAAAAGCCGTTATCCTTAATAGGGAAGAGATGGAAATTTAACGTTTACAAATTGACATGTCTGTTTTCCATGGCTGGATTATTTTGGCAAACCTTGCTGCTTATTTGTGAACTTTTCATCAGGGGTTATGGGTAAACTTTGCCAAGGATCAGTTATTCTGTCTTCTTGGTCCAAATGGTGCAGGAAAAACCACAGCAATCAATTGTTTAACTGGCATAGTTCCAGTGACAGGTGGGGATGGTAAGTTTCATTTCCTTTTCTTCACTTGTCTCCTGCTGATATTTTAACCAGTTTGTAAATTTGTCAGAGTGACTTTGCAACCGATTTGATAGTGTTACCAATGCTTTCTTGACAGCACTGATTTATGGTAATTCCATTAGAAGCTCTGTTGGCATGTCAAACATTCAAAGACTTATAGGTGTTTGTCCCCAGGTTGGTCTATCTCATGTAAACATCTGCATTTTTCCTTCTAGTCTCTCTATATAGGCTTGCAAATGTCTCAGCATGCCTTTATTAGCATTTTTAAGTGAACATGATTTTACTAACACAACACACAGAGTATGACTTTGAATTTTGTTTGTTTTAATGCACTTGTATAGTTTGATATCCTTTGGGAAGCACTCTCTGGTCAAGAGCACCTCCAGCTCTTTGCTTGTATTAAAGGCCTTTCCCCAGCTTCTATCAAATTGGTATGTACTAAGTAAATTTTCCAAGCACATCTTGCTTTTCTTTTCGTCTCTAATTTTCTTTGTTACTAAGAACTCACATCTTTGTTATATCAGTAAAACTTCCATACTGATAAAACTCCCTCACATAGAAAGATCGTTTAAAAATTTCCATTCATCATGGTGAGTTATGTTGCTTTAATTCCAGGTTGTACAGAAGTCATTGGAAGAGGTGAAACTCACCGAGGCTGCCAAAGTGAGAGCTGGTAGTTACAGTGGAGGAATGAAGCGCCGCCTCAGTGTTGCAGCAGCCCTTATTGGTGATCCAACGTTGGTCATCTTGGATGAACCAGTATGTTTTGAGTACTTGGACATTTCTGCGAACACTTCTTTTAGTTTTTCATACTTATTTCCTTCATGTGAAATGCAGACTACTGGTATGGATCCCATAACAAGAAGGCATGTATGGGACATAATAGAGAGTGCAAAGAAAGGTCGTGCTATTGTCTTAACAACACACTCCATGGAAGAAGCCGACATCTTAAGTGATCGCATAGGAATCATGGCAAAGGGTCAGCTTCGCTGCATTGGAACCTCAATAAGGTTGAAGTCACGATTTGGAACAGGTTTCATTGCTAATATTAGCTTCACTGGAAGCAGCAATGGATTCAGTCCTTATAATGGCGATGAAGTAACCACAACTCACCACCATGAATCTGTGAAGCAGTTCTTTAAAGATGTATGTCAAATGATTCAACCAGTTTATATACTTTGTCAATTTGCAAAGAGTTATTTTCTCATTTAGGCTATTTTTTCCTAGCATTTGGACATAGTACCAAAGGAGGAGAACAAAGCATTCCTGACCTTTGTCATCCCTCACGACAGAGAGAAGCTGTTGACGGTTAGCTCTTCTTGCATTTTCATGGAACTTCCACATTTTTTCTTTAATTTCAAATTTCAACTTTGGTTGCATCTATTGCAGTTTTTATAGTAATTTCTTCCCCTTTTTACATTAATAATCCTGAACAGGAATTTTTCGCTGAGCTGCAAGATAGAGCAAGAGAATTTGGTATAGCTGATATTCAACTTGGTCTTGCTACCCTTGAAGAAGTTTTCTTAAATATTGCAAGGCAGGCAGAGCTGGAAAGTGCTACAGCTGAGCAAAGATTGGTCACTTTGTCATTAACTTCCGGAGACTCACTTCAGGTTAAGTGCAACAATGTTGTGGTCAGATTGTTTAAATATTACTTTCGCCGTTCTTATTTATTTCTATCCATAAAACTAACTCTTAACTAACTCTACACATCATAAAAAATTAAAAAAAAAAATAAAAAAAATAACTCTACACATAACTGAGGAGCTAAATGTGCAAATTCTCCTTAAAATTGTTGCATTGAAACAAATCACCATTTAAAAACTATTAATGTAATTTGTCACCTCAAATTTTTATTTTAAAAAATTAGTTTAAATTTAACTGTTACTATTAAATTTCTTTAAATCATTACTTTTGAAATCTAAAAAAAAAATTAAGGATAATTGTTAAATTTGAGTCAATTTATTAAAAATAAAAATTTAAAATAATAAATTATTGTTAACATTAGTTTTAGGTGGCAATTTACTTTAACATAATAATTTTGGAGAGAAATTTACATGGACAAATAAATAAAAACAGAGAAGGCACCATGTAAGAGGAAGTTCTTACCTTAATGCCAATTGATCATATTTGTTGTAATTTGATTCGATGATAATGCAGATACCGGTAGGTGCAAAGTTCGTGGCAATCCCAGGCACAGAGTCCACAGAGAATCCTAGGGGTGTAATGGTTGAAGTGTACTGGGAGCAAGACGATACCGGTTCGCTTTCTATTTCAGGTCACTCTTCAGAAATACCAATACCCCTTAACGCCGAACAGATGGACTTCCTTGCTACTACAAACAGGACTTCCTCAGGCCGGATAGGACCAATTCATGGAATCGTAATCAACCCTAATCCAATTAGCA